GCAAATTATGAAAACAAAGAAATTGAAATTTACAATTTAAGTCCCACAATTTTATCACAATTTATTTATTACTTTTTAATTTGTCACAATTTAATCATGTATCTTTCAACCTCCCTTGCTAGAATTGCAAACTTAGGCAAGTTCAACTCAAACAACTTGAGTCAAGCTTAAAGTTTTTTAAAGATTGAACAACCTAGTTTTTAATTAAGTGAGGACCTATGCAAAAACTCAAAAATTTAAATTAAATTTGAGTGGACTTCAGCAGAAACACCAAATAACCAAAGCAACTAAAACAAAATTATATGTATAAATATATAAATTATTTGCTAATTTATTTTTTAAAATAATAAATAAAATTAATTAAAAATTTAATATTAATGAACAAAAGAAAAAGCAATATACTTAAAATTTCCAAAGATGAGGAGTTAGAGAGCCTCAAAGATGAGCTGGAGCTGGTCCGATCTGACCATGAGGTTGCTCGTGAGCAGCAACAAAAAGTGTTAAAGGAGCAACAACTGCCCGTGAGCAAAACGAGAAGAAGATGGAAGAGAGCAGGGACAACATATTGCAAATATACAATCCATGATGTCACAGTACTTAAAGCACCATCATGGTGGACCGTCTATTTGGTACGTATATATATATATATCTCTTAGAAAATTCAGTTTATAAAAAAATAAATGTGAAAAAGTACCTGACAACGGATGATTTGGAGGAGGGGAATTATAAAATAGCCACCAAATAGTTGAAGGAACGGCATGGGAAAGCTAACGGTATGTTGATAGAACATATGCTTAGAGAATTAGAGCAGAAAATGTGAAAACTTAACTAAAAGCGGGTTGTTCGAGGAAAAAATTATGAAACAGTCACCAAACAGCCCAATGAATGGCACAAGCACCTTGCCTAAACCTTTGTAAACTTGGGAGAGCTAGCATATGTTGATAAGACGTATGATTACAGAGCTAGCACAAAAAGTGTGAAAATGTAACTTAAAATGAGCCATTTAGGAGCAAAATTATGTACCAGTCACCAAACAGCCCAAGAAACTACATTGACACCTCACCTAACTATAATCAAACTTGGGAGAGTTGATGACATGTCTATAGGATGTACGAATAGAGAATTAGCTTAGAAAATATGAAAATATAGTTCAAAATGAGCCGTTTAGGGGCAAACTTTTTAAGACAGCCACCAAACAACCCAAGAAACAACCCAGACACCTCACCTAACTATAATCAAACTTGCAAGAGCCGACAGCACGTCTATAGGATGTGTGGATAGAGAATTAGCATAGAAAATGTGAAAATGTAATCGAAAACGAGTTGTTTGGGGGAAAAATTGTAAAGCAACCACCAAACAGCACAATAAACAGAATGGACTCCTCACTTAACTATGATCAAACTTGCGAGAGCCGACAGCACGTCTAGAGGACGTATGGGTAGAGAATTAGCACAGAAAATGTGAAAATGTAACCGCAAAATGAGCCGTTTGGGGGCAAAATTTTAAACCAGCCACCAAATAGCCCAAGAAACAGCATAGGCACTTCATCTAACTATAATCAAACTTGCGAGAGCTGAAGGCGCGTCTATAGGATGTACCATTAGAGAATTAGAGGAAAAAATGTGAACAATTAACCGAAAAATGGGTCGTTTAGGGGTGAAATTATAAAACAACCACCAGAGTTAGTGTCAGATTTGTTACTTTGGTGTTATGGTCGCAAAGTTAAGCATCTGGGAAAGCTAATCTGGGAAGCAATTCCACTTATAGTCCTTTGGACTCTCTAGATTTCAAGAAATGAAAATTTTTCCAATAACAAGGAACCTGTTTTGGTTGAGCTTGTGCTTGTGGAAAGTATAAAGATCAAAGTGGCAACATGGGTGAAGTTCTCAATTAATGGTTTCTTGTTTTGTTTGGATGGACTTAAGAATATCAAGGTGAAAGGTTGCATTAAATGAAGTTGTCCAAACCCTCCTAATCACACCACCACTGTTGTACTCTGTTTCATTTAGCTACTTATGCTTGTTGCCCTCTCTTCATTACTGTCTTGTAGGTTTGTACATGTGGCCTGGCATGATGATTTTTGTGGTTTGTTTCAAAGCATCTGTTGTTTTTCTTCTTATTTCTACTTAGTTATACTGGTATGAGATGCTTTACTCTTTTGTTTTGTTGGCAACCCACCAACCCTTGATGGTGTGTTTGCACATTCTTGGGCATACATTTTGGTGTCAACCTAGTTGGGATTGAATTGTGTTGCTATGATGCAAACTATACCCATCACTTTGATATATTATCAGTGTATATTCTGGTTATCATCAATAAAATTATCTTCATTTTGCTGATCCAAAAAAAAAAAAAAAAAAAGAACAACACGGTTGGTAAAGTTGATGGCCAGTCAATACAATGTCTAACTACATAATTAGCATTGTACTTGTAAATTTGAAGAGTTATATAACTTATGTTATAAGTGTATTCAATAAACACTAATTGTTATTTTATTTCTTTTTTTACAGATGGATAGTGGAATCGCTTGCTGTTGGATTTATTAAGTTGTTTTATTTGGATGTTATGAAGTTTGTGTTGACTACTTTGTCTTTATTTTTTGGTCATTGATAGATTTTATATTTGCTTTAGCAGAATATGGATATGATTAGATATTTTGGGTGGATTTATAAATTGAATGAACCTATATTTTGTTTAGATGGATGAGTATTGAATTTAGAAATGCTTGAGTTTAATTGATTGTTACATTATAAATTTATAATTTGTTTGGATGAATGAGTATTGCAATTACAAGTCATAGCTTGAGAATGGCAAAAATTTCAATTTTATTTTGTAATAGTAATTTAGAAAAATAAATGACTTTTGACAACAAAAATGGTTGGTCATGAAATCACCACACAAAATTTCACTTTTTCATAAGAAAATTATTTTATTGCAATTCACTACTTTTGTTGATGAATTTATTTAGTCACCAAAAGAAGTATTATTTAGCAATAATAATTTGTTGCAATTGATAGCTTTTGGATACGAATTTAGTTGGCTGCCAAAAGTACTTGTTTGCAACAAAAATTTTGTCGTAAAAAGGCTCTTTAGGCAATGAATACTTTGTTGGCATTAGTTTTTTTTTTTTTTTTGCGACAAATCAAATAAACTAATAAAATAATATCATCTTTGGCGACCAAACTATTTTGTTGGCAAACTAATTTTCAGAGACAAAATAATATTTTTGTCGCCAAAAACTTTTAGCGAGGAAGGATTGGCGACAAAATTTGTTTGTCGCTGAAAGGTATTGGTGACCAACAACTAGCTTTTAGCAACCAATTTTTTTGTTGCCAAAAGTGTAATTTCTTGTAGTGCAATAATGCTTTTTTTTGGGGGGGGGGTAAAGCACCACACTACAACAAAACTAACTATTTACGGCATCATGTTTTGCATGTCGTAGTTAGTACATTCTACGACATTTTTTATTTTGCAAGCCGTTAATGTTTTGTCAATAACAACATATATACATGCCATGTAAGTAGTTAATTCATATATTTATGGCATGTAAAAGTATGCCATAAAAAATGTATGTTTTTACAGCTTATAAAAATATGTCGTAAAATATTTATACTTAAGATGATGTACATTTCATGTTGTAAAATATTATAACTTTACACAACATACTAATGAATGTCGTGAAAACTTGTACAAAAAAAAAAAAATACAATTTGATTTTTTTATGGCATGCAAAAGTATGTTATAAAAAATGTATATTTTCACGGCATGCAAAAATATATTATAAAATATTTGTACTTAAGACAACATACATTTCATGTTGTAAAATATTAAATTTTATATGTTTTTGAATTTAGTGATATTTTTAGAAAATTAAAAAAATATTTTTCCTTCTAAGTATACGTAAATTATTTGAATTTAAAAAGTAAAAAAAAAAATTATTTAAAAACTTACGCCACACTCCCTTTTATTGTAGATTCATACTTGTTTTTGTTCCAAACCATCTCATTCTTTAGAGATATTATATTTTAATTATAAATAATATAAAAAAAAATTCTAGACGTTCTTAAATATTTATAAATTTATAGTAGATATGACAATTATTTATTTTTTATTTTTCCAATAAACTAGATATCCTAGTTATAATCTAGATTTTTTTAATACAAAAATAATTTATGAACTTATACTTAAATCTTGTTTTTCTAAAATTTTCTACTCCAAATTTTATTTATTTATTCATATTGTTAAAATTACACATTCTTTGCATCCTAGATTTTTTTATTTTATTAATATTGTCATTTTTTTAAAATAGATTTATTAACGATCTGATTTAAAATAACGATGTTTTTTTTTTTTGGAACACTCTCACACATTTATTTTCTTTTACCATGCGTTTGTTTCACTGGATATAAAATGAAGGATATAATATGATATGAGATTTAGTTAGGATATATAATGAATAGGATATAGTTATTGGATAATATATTTCCAAATTCATGTTTGTTGACTTGATATATAAGATTGGATATATATTGTCCATGTTTGTTTTACAAAATATATTGTAGGATATAAACAAGTAATTTCCAAGATTGCCCTCATAATATTATATTAAATAATATTATATTATATTAAATTCAAAATTTATATTAAATTAAATTCAATAATATTATATTATATTAAATTCAAAATTTATGTTAAATTATATTATATTATATTAAATTCAATAATATTAAATTAAATTCAATAATTATATTAAAATTATATTATATTAAATTAAATTCAATAATATTTATATTATATTAAATTTAATAATTATATTATATTAAATTCAAAAAATATATTAAATTATATTATATTAGATAGACAAAAAAATATATTAGACTTTTTAAATCATATCCTAACCAAGGAAATATGATGGGATGGTGGTATTATATATTCTTCACTTTAAAGGATATACAATTCCATAAAATATTATATCCTCTTTAAAAAAAATTACAAACATAAAGTATGTGAACCACAAGATATACCCCTCTTTCTCTCTCTCTCTCTCTTCTCCTTCTCTCTCTTTTCTCTCCATCGACATCTCACACAAACACACGAGCACCACCAGCCACTGCCCCTCGGATGATGTTAGTTACACGAGCACCAATCGATTGATTCCGAGCTTGGCATTTGATTTTAATTCCGGGCCTTGGATTAATTCGGTGAGAGCCTTGGATTGCATCCCTTATTCGATTAATTCAGTTTCTCCTCTCTCATCTCTCTTTGATTTTGATTTGATTTGATTTGATTTCTAGAGTTTTGATTTTGATTTTGATTTCTAGGGTTTGGGTTTTGATTTTGATTTGATTTCTATTCAATTAACCTATATTTTTCTCCCTTGCAGTTTCATTTCAACTTTATGATCTCAAGCAGCAAGGATTCATAGAGAGACAGGAGTTTATGAGGTATTTTGAATTGTGTTGTGTTTATGGCTCTTCACTGAAAATTTCTATTGATTTGGTTATGTAATAGTTTTGATGGTTTGAATGTCTCTGTTCTTACAGAAATTGTTTCCAATTGCTAGTTGAATTTTGCTTTGTTCTGAATTTTGATGGAGATATTAGTTCCTTAGTTAGTATTATTAAATTTAACTGCTATGCTTGACAACTGATTCACTGTATGCTGTATTACTTGTATGACTATGTAATATTGAAGTTCACACTATTTCATGGGTTATAAGAAGCCTATGAGCCCTTGCCTGTGCTTGAAGATCAACCTGATAGCACACCACAGAATATATATACATGTATTTAGGATCAATAAGTTATAGTTTGAATGTAATTGACAATTAATCAGTCTAGACTTGGTGCTCATCTTCATCATTGGTAAGTTGGGTCTCTCGAAGTAAACAGGAAGTAGGCATAACCTATGACTACGCCAGTGGTGGTGGTGAAAAATGCAATTGGCTCCATAACATCCCATGAGAATTCCCAGAATGTAAGACGAAAGAAGAGCCCGACCTGCATGATAGCCAACCCTAGCCCTGACCAGAGGATGCGCCGGACCTGCTTATGTGCCAGTATGTCAATTTCTTCCTTCTTCTCCTGGAGCTTCTTTAGCACTTCCCTCCTGGGGTCGTCTTCAGATGTCACGGCAAGGGGCACTGCTCTTCTAACCAAATCCACCACCTGAATATGTAGAAGTAAATGGAACAACAAAAATCAATTTAAGCAATAATATCAAATATGTAAGGCTTCTAAACAGAAAGGACCATGGCTGTAAGAATTGTGTGATTCATGATTAGATTCATACGTTTTGATACGAGTTTCAACCAAAAAGATGTTTCACCACTCTATCAAGAAATAAAGAGATCAATTAGTTATATTAATGAACATAATTATATATACATGTATATATAATTTAGTTATATTGATATTCATTTTATTTTAAACGTTGTGTGTATTTTTATATGTATATATACATATATAAGAATATATTATTTTTTCATAAATTATATTAGATTATATTAAATAAAGTGCTCTTATGATTCATGATTCACTATTGTAGCAAAACGATTCACGGTTCGGTTCGCTATTTGACAATAATGGAAATGACAGATAGATTGGGAGAAAAAAAAACTGCTGAGACTCACTAAAATTTAAATTCATATTGTGTCAACAACTCAAGCCAATTTATCCCAGTTGGATAGCCGATACAAATCTAATCAACAGATCTACGGCATTCAAGTAGGCTAAATGAAGACAGAAACACACCATGCATGGGTCAAATGTTTCATTTCAACGAGGTACACTTGCAGAAATAAAAATCACCATATGAAGAGAATAATCATAGAAATAATAAACCTCTAAGAAGGAAGGTTAAACTAAGAAGAAAAAGAAGAAGAAGAAATGGCAATCATAATTATGTCTAGTTGGACATGCACACATTATGTATTGAGTGTACCTCGTAACTTTGCATAAAACTCTCATTTTATGTCTAAAATACTCAACATTAGTTTATAAACACAATTTTACTCTCAATAAATAAAGTATTTAAGAAAAATGAAATCAAGCCATATTTTGGTATCCTCTTGGACATGACAATTAGATAATATGACACACTTAAACACAAACCTATACACAACACTCGTACCCAAGTCCAGGTATCCATATATGATATACCACACAAGGACTTGGCACATTTTGAATTGTTACACAATTTAAATTGAGGCTATACCAGTAACTGGTTGCTGGAGATAGTCAAACTTGGGTTTTAATCACTGATTTGCAAGATATCACCTATTGTTTAGCTAATTCCATCTCATTCTATATGGCAGATGGAAGAGTACATCTTATGTTTAATGTTGTTGGGGACATTGCTTGGTGCAATGGCAAAAAGTTTGGGCTGTCAAGTGTAGTACACAGGTTCAAGTCTGAGAACAACTACTTCGTCCAATTAAAGGTAAAGGTTAGGAACACTCAACATGAACTTTTTCCAGTTTCTGCGGGAGATTGATGCTGCTCTAGTTGGATGTGCTGTGTCTGTTGTAAACGAATCTCTCTTTGTTTATCTCAAGCTTCAAGGAACTCTTAATGCAGAAGCAGAACGTGAAAAGCTCAAAAAGATGGAAGATATACAAAAGCAAGTGTTTTTTCTCAACTGAAAACTGTTCAGCACTCTATACAAGATTGGACCAGACAACAGGTGGCCACCCTGTTTTGGCCAACAGTCATATGCAATGGTCCTTGAGATTCAACTTAGAGGCTATGACATCTAACTGATGTATGACTTTGGTCACACTGTTATTATGGTCCAAAGACATCTTCTTGTGGATATCCTCTCTTAAGATAGATCAAGGTGCATGTCCCTTGGGGATTATTGGGATGAACCACCTTGGAAAAACACTAATTGTAGTCGCCAAGGTTAGTATACAAGTGTCATGGTCCACCCATGACTGTGGTGCCACCTGAAGGTGTCCTTCAGCTCTGTTTGGACCCTTGGTTAGTCTGTGAGATGTAATGATGTTTTTAATTGAATTAAAACTATTGTATTTTTGAAATTACTATTAGCTGTGATGCAATCTTTTAATGAATTAGTTTTAGATATTTTTTTCCATCTTGTGTGAAGTGTATTTTTGCAGATGATCATGAGAATTTATTATGATTATTATGTTTTGGAGTCTTTTTGTGAGGTAGATTATGTGAATTTTGTTACACAATGAAAACTTATGTGTTTTGGTTTGATGCAGTAACTATTTTTGCAACCCAGTAGTGAAGGAATGGTCATGTAATTGGTTGTACAGAATTAATGATGTGATATTGTTGTTGCTCCAGCTGGAATGTCATTCTATTTGTGCTATGTTAAATCGAGAATAGGCTTTCTAATATGAATGTTTATACCTGTGACTTGTGATTTACTCGAGTGACGTGTCAGTTGTGGAAATTTAATATTTGTATGATGGAACCTACACATTGAATGAATCTCAACCACACTTGTGTTTCTTCATATTTTTCTTCGTTTGAGTGTCTTATCTCTAGCATTACTCTTACCAAAAACTGATCAGGTAAGTCCCAGAGATTAGGCTAGACAAGACTTGTTCAATTAGGTAACTAGGCTAGAGAAGACGAGTTCCATTAGGCTAGACAATACTTCTTCAATTAGCAATCTTTCAAATTGGAGATGGAAGGCAAGAACACAGAAGGTATGATTTCTCTATTAAAAATTGAAGGAAACTAAGTTTCTATTTAAAAAAATTCAGCTGTAAAACACTGCTTTAGGAGTGTAGAACATTTCTAGTTAATTAGATTGAAACAGACTAATCACTATAATCATAAAGAAAAAGAAAAAAAAAGTTTAGCAATTCAGCTAGTAACCTTACTTGTATTAGTTTTAATCATCCAAAACAATGACCCCAGGGTCTGATTTATTGGTGCTTTCTTCAGTTGGTTCATCGGCACTTGAATCAGCATCATGCAACTCTTCGATTTCCACATCATCTCCAGTTCCATATTTTACATTGCATAACATATTGTTTAGACCAGACATATTTTACATTGCATCAGTTTCTTTAACTTTAACTAATGTATTAATGCATTGATATATTTTCTATTATTGCGTTTCCTATATCAAAGGTCAAAGCCTGATGTTTATTACTACATTTACATTATGTTACTCCACCAGCAGCAGCTTATTTCTGTTGCTAGAGCATAACATATTGTTGTGTAATTCTTATTAAGACTTCATGTTGCTTATGCAAATGTCGTCCACATTATTTTCTGATCTGATTGTTATTGTGAATGCTCATTTTCTTATTAATAGTTGAATCTTGAAATTGTTAGGCAAGGTTGTCATAAAAAGTGCAATGATTTATGACGTGCAAGAAAATATCGTAAAAGATTATATATGGCATACAAAGTATGTCATAAATATATTAAAAATGACCTTCTACGGCATATAAAATTATGTGGTAAAAAGTGATGATTTATGACATGCAAGAAAATGTTGTAAAATATTATATACGGCATGCAAAGTGTGCCATAAATATATTCAAAATAACCTTCTATGGCATGCAAAATTATGCCATGGAAAGTATGATGATTTATGGCATGACAAAAATGTCGTAAAAAATAATATACGACATATAAAACATGTCATTAATGTTTAATTTATTACTTTTTACAACTTTGCATGCATGTCGTAAATATTGTTCAACTTTTTACGGCATGTCATATAACGGCATTTGTGTGCATGCCGTGAAAGAGTTTTTACAGCATGTATTGCAAGTCGTAAAAATTCAATTTTGTTGTAGTGCCAATAAATCTCAAAATGTAATCTTGTAAACTGTTTGGTTCTCTCTTTTTTCTTATAAACCCAAAGGTCCCATTAAAGTGAAAATTATACAAAATTGTAGTCACTTACACTTTTGCTTTAATTTTTGAGGGATATAAGTGAATTTCTCCAAATGTGAAATTACACATTTAGGCAATCTACACTATAGAAGTTTTGGATTTTTCATCCTTCTGGAACGAATCTCACATTACGAATAAGAACGTAACACTCTAATAACATAGCACTCCAATATAACACACTAACAAACTACTTAGGGTTCGTTTGGGGTGTGGATTGACTTTTTGATTATTTTAGTTGGGGGCTAAAAAGTCTTGTTTGGAATAGGCTTTTTGGTTTTTTTGACTTTTGTGAGAGAAAAAATAAAATGATTATGGTTTGGATGTGACATTTTGTCTTATTTGGCTTAAAAGCCTATTTTATCTTTTTATGGCTATTTTAGCCAAAAATCCCCATTTTAGCTTATGCCAAACGGAGATTTTGTATATTTTTTCCAAACGTAACAACATAACACTCTAAATTTTTCCCAAATGTAACACTCCAATGTAACAAATTCCAATATAACACACAAAAAAGCTTATTAATGTACTTTTTCCAAACGTAACACTCCAATCAATATAATCTCAAACGTAACACTCCAATGTAACATACATAAAAACACTAAAAAACTATTTAATGTACTTGTTCCAAATGTAACACTCACAGTTTGAAATTATACATTTATCCAAAGCTTACTAAGGAATTTTTGTATTCCTTTTGGAATAGTTTGAAGAATCTCACACTTTTTTGGAATGGTTTGAAAAATCTCACATTCTTTTTTTAGAGTGTTACATTGGAATATTACGTTTGAAAAAAGTACACTAAGAAATTTTTGTGTGTTACATTGGAGTTTTATACTAAGGAGTTTTTTTGGAGTGTTACATTACAGTATTACGTTTGGAAAAAGTACACTAAGGAATTTTTTTTAGAGTGTTACGGTTGAGTGTTATAGATTGAAATTATACATTCGTTCAAACCTTACTAAGGATTTTTTGTACTCCTTTTGAAATATTTGAAGAATCTCACATCCTTTTGGAATGTTTGAAGAATTCCATATTTTAAGTAATTTTTGTACTCCTTTTGAAATGTTTGAAAAATCTTACATTTCAAGTCATTCCAAATAAAAAAGATTCTCATATAAAAATTAATTCCAAATTTGATTGTGTATCTTACATTTCTAGCACAAAAGAAAAAAAATGAAGAAAATATAATAGAAATAAGGGTAAGATTGTAAATCTAATTTTCAAATAATATATTAAATTTACCTTTCCATAATTAATATGACTAATTGGTCTATAAGAAAACTCTTGGGACTAATTGAATCACCATTCTTCAATATGGGATTTATAAGTAAATTTTCCTTCTTTTTTTTTTGGGTAAATTATATTGACACCCCTTGATGTTTGGTCCAGTTACTATCCATCCCCTAACATTTTTTAAATTACATTCTCACCCTTGTGGTTAATAGTCTTATTTCACAAATCCTCATGCTTATATAAAAGATAACAATTCCTAGTAGAAAAACAGAAGAAATTACATTAAAAAAAAAAAGTAAAGGAAAGGGAAAAAAAAGAGGAAGTAAAGCAAAGAAAAAAAAGGAAGAGTTCATGAGTTCAATATCTTCATTCTATCTAAATAATTACAATGATAGGGGGGTTAGTGTAATTTTCCAAACGTCAGTGGGTGATATGTATTAAACCCAAATCTCAGGGGTGTAAGTGTAATTTACCTTTTATTTTTTAGTAAATATTCTACATTTCTTTTCACAAATCTTGTACTTTTTAAGTGGATCTACATAGTAAAAAAATAAAATAAAATGAAAATGTACTTCTTTTTTTTTCTATTTGGTAAATTTTTTTAAAAAAATTTCACAACTCTTGTACTTTTTAAGTGTATCTAGATTAAGTAGATTTAAAAAAATAATAATAATAAAAATATTGAAAAATTTCACCAAAATTAATAAAATACAGATTGAAAAAAAAAACTATTTAAAAAACTTATTTTATACTTTTTACCCTTATTTTTTTCCCCTCTTTTATTGGGTGAAGGGATGGGAGAAAAGGGAAAGAAAAATGTTACACCCTCAAGGATAATTTTATAGTAGTCTTTTAATGGGACACATTCTTTAAATAGAGTGTATGGTATGCATCAAATATGTGATTGATAATGTGTCACCTCATAAAAAATGGCATGAATTACAAGCCAGTTAGTAGCTCAACATATAACCAAAATCAATTTTGAGATTTATTTGTGACTTAAATTGGGAAAATTTGTGCCTGTGTTTGGCAAGTGGGTTTGCAGGCTTTTTTGGCTATCTTAGCCACAAAAAACAAAATAGGCTATTTTAGCCATAACAAACAAAACATCACATCCAACCCATAATCATTACATTCTTCTCTCACAAAAAAACTCAAAAAAGCCAAAAAGCCAAAAAACCCTTCCCAAATCAAGCTTTTAAACCCAGGCTAAAATAGCCAAAAAAGCCAAAAAATCAAAAAGACAACCCACTTCCCAAACCAAGCCACAATAGTCTCGGTTACCCATTGCACTTACAAGAACTGATTAGGTTGGTCATTACATTGTGTTCAAACTTCTCATTACCTTGTGTCAGTGAAAACTTTATTATATAGTATCAATATATCTATTATCTAGTAGAGTCTTACAATTATTATTATTATTATTTTTTTTTTTTTAATTTTAGTCAGGGGACTTTTGGTATCTTTATTTTACTTGAGAGCAAATGGAACAATAAGTATAGATTTTATTTACGTAATTACTGAAACTGATACAGATTGGGTGCACTCATCAGAGCTCAAATCGGCAAATCCTAAATCATAAACTATAGATAGAGTGATTTTGCACGCTCGAGAGAGGCTTAGTAGAATTCAAATTTCGCTTTAGGGAGGACGCACATAATTTGAAACAGGTAATTGAACAACAGAATGGAAGGGATTACACAAACTGAAATAGAAAGGCTTGAAGGTGCTAACACAGCATATGTCCCTGTAATGAATGCCAACCACATTGCAATCATAGCATAAGCAGTATGAGCAAAAGCTAAACCAAGTTGCTTCTTTAGTAAAATCGGGTGGTCAGTCATAGTATAGAGTTGGGTAAGCACTGCAAAAACGGATAACGTCAGGGCAATGGTATCTGTTATCACAAAAGCTATGAAAGCTGCTTTTCTTGTTAGAATTGCCATTCCCTGGTTCGGGTCTTTCTTATCATTAATGTAGCCACCAGGCATGGTGATACCTGCTGTGAAGGTCACCGTTGCTATAAGTGTAGCCACTATCAAATTGGTTTCCCTTGATTTTGTGATGTTTGTGGGCACCCGGATTGGGCGATTATTAATAGATCCAGTTTGCTGTAAGAACAAAAACAAAAACAAAATTATAAACGTAAATGAATGGTAAATGCTAGTGTTTGAGGTTTGGCTACTCCAATTACCCTCCCATGTGTTTGAAATTCCTGAAGAATGTCCCAAGCTTCTTTCGCTTTTGTAGCTTTCATGATTCTCGGAAAGATCAAGTCTGAGACGCCTTGCTGGATTTTAGAAAGAGCTGCAGCATCCCTCTGTTGTTTCTCCCTGTTGGTCTCACCATGGTACCCATTCTCTACCGTATCCCACAAATCCATAGATAAAAGTAGAGTTCTCATCTTCACACTCCAAAACTCGTAGTTCACACCATCAAAAATTGGAATTGTGTCCGGCATGGAGTTTTAAGGATTTTCTTTCTTCACCTTGCAGCTGATATTGCTTTTACAAACAAACAACTCTGATACCAGATGACAGCCTCTTGTGTACGCCTATGTATGTTGTTTGGGAAATGCTAGAGAGCTCTAAATTTAGAGCTCTAATATGTGTCAAAGTAGAAAAAAAAAACAAAACAAAACAAAGCAAAACAAGACACAAACATCACATCAAGGTAGGTCCTACATTCTCATTAGAGCTATTAGAGCTCTAAAGCATTTTTGATGTTGTTTCAGTATTAGAATTGAACAAAACAACAAGAACTTGACCAGACTTTGACTTTGGCAAGAAGAATAGAAGTAGATTTTTCAGCAGCAAAACATATCATATTTATACATTGATTCTTCACAACTTGATGTCTTAAGAAGTGTACAAAATATCAAACCACAGAGATTAACCATAATTTACAAAACTTAACCACACATATCTATGGTTACAGCTGTCATGCAGAAAAAGTTAATTAATGTCAAAATCAGATTGAAATTGAAGGGCAGATGTGATATGTATATGTATATATATACACATATTTTTGAAAAATAATTTGAAAAACACTTGAGAAAAAAAAAATGACTTAAATTTAAATTTAGTGTAGTGTATAGACACTTTATTTTGATCGGTCTTAAGATTTAAATGTTTTCTTTCAAACATTTGATAATAAAATAAGAATATATTATCTCATAAAATTTTTAATAGAAAGATGAAATTTAAACCTTAATCCCTGCCTTTACCTGTTTTGATCAAAATGTTTTAAACTGATTTTAACTTAAATTTTACATATTTGTGACCTGTTAAAATATATTTTATTAATCTATTTATTTTTATTTTATAATTTAACATATTTTTATGCATTTTTTATTTTTTTGAATATTCGTATATATATATTTGCACAAATAATATCTTTTATATATTATAAAATACATAATAATTATACTGTGCGGTGCACAGTTGCATCTTTTCAAATCGTTTCCTTCTCCACCGAATTTTTTTGTATTTTCCTCATTTTTTTTTTTAACATGTTTTGGTCTTTTTCTATTTTTTTTTTTAAAATGGCAGACGGGGCGAGGAAACTGGGGAGGAGAATCAGATGGGAAAAAAATTTGTTTTCGGATAGGAGAAAAAAATCAGGAAAAAGAGGGAGGGAAAGAAAAGAAAGAAAATCGGTTTTAAAAGAGGGAAAGAAATCTTATATATATATATATATATATATTTATTTATTTTTTATCAAACCTTTATTTCCATTCTCTCCATTATCTTTTCACTAATATACCATCCAAAAAATATTATTAAAGTTGAAATTTCAAATTTCAAACTGAGTAGTGTTTTGAAAAGTTGGTAAAAAGTTGATTTTTTTATTTTTTATTTTTTGACTTTTTGGTGGCTTTTATGACAAAAAAACTGACTTTTTTTGCTAAAAAAATTAAAAAGCCAAAAAATTAGCTTTTTTAACTTCTTGCCAAAAACATATTTCACAATTTTGAGGATGATCAGAAAGGAACAGGGGTCCCTGCTGTACTCAAAGCACAGCAGTGACTGTGGTGCTTCCATTTGAAGTGTATTATAGCTTTATTTTTATGATCTAAACCGTTCATTTTATAGGGTTTGTTGAATACTTCATGCCTACCAAAAATCATATTAATCGGATATCAATAACTATATGATCGAATTGCATATTGTTTATGCTATTTCTCAAAAGAAAAACTTATTATTTATTTTTCTGGTTATCGATCATATAGTTGTTGATATCCGATTAATATGATTTTTGATAAATATGAAGTACTTAACAAACCCTACAAAATAAACGGTTTGGATCATAAAAAAAAGGCCATAATCCACCTCAAACGGAGGCACCACAGTCACTGCTGACCCCTTATCCAATCAGAAAAGAGTTTCAAAATCAAAAAATTCATCCCTTTCTCAAAAAGTGAATTTTTACGAACTTTCCCTTAATAAAATGTGATAAACTGTTTTACCGCTTTGAATGGTCGGTTTCAAACCACCTACATAAACGGTTGTAATTTAGTGCTTTACATAAATTATTGTAATTTATCACTTTAAAATGGTCAGTGTATCACCACCTACATAAACTATTATAATTTACTGTTTTAAATGGTCAGCATTTCACCACTTACATAAACTGTTATAATTTACTACTTTATATGGTTGGTTGAATAACCTAATTTGTAAGAAATGTGACTCCGCCGGAATAGTTACCGCTATTAATAGTGACCGAAAGATGAATAGTATCTACCGGGTGAATAGTGCACCAACCAAATTTTCACGTATTTTTCAATTTGACTCCCATACTTCGATTAATATCAATTTTATACCTAAACTTTTAAAATTTTGATCAATTTGGCCCTTACCGTCACATTCCGTCTATAATTGAACGGAATGTGCTGATGCGAGGATAAATTGATTTTTAAGGTATAGTTTGGAGGGCAAATTGATTCTTAAGTTATAGTTTGGAAAGTAAAATGAAATTTCTAATGAATTTTGGTGTCACGTCAGCACATTCCGTCCAATTGTAGACAAAATGTAACGGCAGAAACCAAATTAATCAAGATTTCAAAAATTTGAATATAAAATTGATATTAATCAAAATTTAAAAGTCAAATTAAAAAATAAGTGAAAATTTGAAAAGTAAAATGATATTTCTTCTAAAATTAATACCGGAACTAAAACCAGAACTAGTAATTTTGAAGTTTCAGAAAATGCCCCATTAAAAATCCAAACTCACCGTCGTATCTAGAACTAGAATGAGTAATTCTGAAGCTTGAGAGGATGGCCCACTAAAAATTGAAAAGTGCAGCGGCATATATCTTGCAGTGTGAAATTTTCTTGTAGTGAGTGAAATTCCTCCTCACATTTTATTCTTTTGTTTTTTTTTTCTTTCTATAAATCACTACCTAAAACTAAATTGATAGTCCAAACACAACTGTAATTAAAGTTGCAAACGAATTGTACCGAGTCGGACTTTGCTGAGTTCGGGTTTAATTCGTTTACTTATCGAATTTATTTATTGAGTTTGAGTTTGGCTTGATAAATAATTACACTCGAGTTCGGCTAGTTAATATTAATGACACTCAAGTTCTGCTCGGCTTGAGAATAATTTTTTTCTTATTTATATTATTTAAATAAAGATATTATTTATATAATTTATTATATAATTTAAATAAAGATAAGACGATCTTAATGAGCTGAACTTATTCAAGTTTAAATTTAGCTCATTTATTAAATGAGCCAAGTCAAGCCAAGCTAAACTCCTAACAATCTGAGCTGAATCAATTCACAAATAACTGGTTTCTTTTACAGTCTTAATTGTAGTCAACCTGTCAATGTCCTATTTTCTTTCACTCTTTCTGTTTATTAATTAGATTCTCTTACACTTCACTTTATGCAGTGAAGTGATATACCTTGCTTAATTTTTGAAATTTACCTCCTCTTTTGTCCTCCTCAATCTACCAACTATTTCACATCCCTTTTGTGTGTACAAAGATTTTTCCCATTGATTGAGTGATTCCTTGCTTCAACGACATGAAAGTCCTTTCTTTTAGGCAAATGTTAGTACTTGTCAAGATGTAATAAATAATTATAAATGTTATAATTTTAGTGAGTTTTACCAATAATATTTAAACAATAACATTGAAAGTAACAATAAGAAAAATTAGTGACAAGTCTAATTTAAAGAGTATAAAGTATTAGATTTAAGGTAAAATATTATTTGATGATAATAACATGTCGGAAAAATTACCGATGCCAAAAAAGTTTGCTAGAAAAATTGGCCAGAAAAATCACCGAAAAAGTCGTGGTAGCTAGTGACCGGCGGCTGGCAATAGCAAGTGGTGGTAGTAAGGTAGAGAAATGTGTGATATTCAATAGATAAGTAGTTTAATGAATTTCAATAAATAAGAAAATAGGCTTGGTGAATTTTAATAGATAGACAAATTGAGTGATTTTAAGAATAGACAAATAGATTGATTTTAACAGATAATTGTCCTTTTGAACAAATTGTGTCATTTTGGTCCAAAGAGATTCATGGAGATCCATCAATATACATACACACACATATATAGAAAGAGAGAGATCCAATCTCATTGGTAGGAGTTTCGATAACCATCATGATTGAATCGACATAAAAAAAATGGCCAAATCTAATGGCATCAGTGAAGATTTGAGTTGAAAATGGTTAGATCTGAAAGTCATCGGTGACGGAAAATAAAGAAAGAAGACAATGCTAAGAAGTTTGCGGGGTTGAGGCGACGGATGAAGGTGGTAAAGTGTAGATCGACAACAATGGAGTATAGATCAATAATAATGGAGGTGATTGGCGAACGTTGGTGAACGATGATGGTGGTGGTGGTGGCCAAACAATGACGGCAGTAGTAGTGAGTGGACGGTATGGCAATAGTGTAGCACTTGGGTGTTTTAATCTATTGGAAGGTGTATTTAATCCCTTTATTTTCGTTTTAAGAGTCTTTGGAGTTGTTGTATATTGGTTTTGGAGGAGTACAACTCGATTTAAACTCGTTGGGTTTGTTCGTTCACATTTGTTCTTGTCGAAAAGTTCCTTGGGAACTTAGAAATTCTGTTCTGGGGTCGACACCAGCCTTCCTAAGAGTCGACCCTTATATGTTGCTATGCTCTAGAGATGTTACTGGAATTTAGGGTCGACACTAGCCTTGGTAGTGTTGACACCTGTCTCTTATTGTTGGCCTCAAGGGTCGACACAAATTTGGGAAGGGTCAACCCTTGTATTGTAGCGATCCCGATTTCGATCCTTCTTTCATGTTTTGCCACTTCGAAGTTGCTTGTCGCTCGAGCGGCCGTTTATGAGCTCGAGCGGAGAATGTTTGGTTTCAGAAGTTTGACCTGTCTACAAAAGTACTGGGTTAGTGTATTTGACGCTTGAGCGGGGTTTTCCACGCTCGAGCGGATCATGTTATATCTGTTCGTGAATCTGATATTTTAGATCACTTTTTCAGTCCTCTCTCTCTCTAAAACTCTCCAGAATTCCAGATCGGGAGCTTCTTTCTCTAGAAGTCATCTTCTCTTTTTGATTTCTCCAAATCCATTGAGATTTAGATCTAAGTTCTTCACCAAAGTTGGTTATCATCTCGAGGGATTCGTTGTGTGCGGTGAAAATCGAGTTTCGACACCGTTGATTTTATGGGCTTCATCTCATCTCTTCTACAAAACTTGAGGTAGGAATTTTCTTACAGTTATAAATATATTTTTGCAAGATCTATATGATTTTTGAAATCATCTTTTGATAGCTTTGAAAGTTGATTGTTGATTCAAGAAGTTGAGCGATTTTAAAAGT